CAACCCACATCCAAGCGAAACCGGAAGTCGGCAATACGATCAAAAGATAGAGCGTCTCCGACTTGGTTATTAATTTTTTTTCGTCTTCCAATAAAAATATTTTCGGCCATTTTAGAAGTTTAGGACGAGTTGAAGCTCGAAGGTAATTTAGGGGTTGAAAATAGCACTTCCGAGAAAAAAGTAAAAAAAGTTACGTAACGTTACGTAACGTTACGTTAGTAAAAAAAATTTACGTATTTTCATCCTTAGAATTGGAATCAAAAGTAAAATCATAAATGTCCAATTAAAACAAATTACTTCCGGTCAGTTGAACTCACTTTCGGCCGAAACCGGAAGTCGGCAATGCCTCCAATACATAGAGCATCCCAATTTGATAGGTGATATTTTTGCGTTTTTTTTTCAAAAACAAAAAAAAACATTTCTCTCCATTTAAACGGGTGGACGGGTGGTTTGCGACACACTGCATATGTCGATAATAATATGGATAACGATACCACTTACAATTCCACAAAAAAACATCGATAAATACCAATATCGATAACGTTACTAAGACATACAATAACGATTTGGTACGAATAGGCTAGGTAACGTGTCAGTCACGCCAGTAACTCAATCACTTAGATATTTCTTATAGATTTTTCATGCAGCGTTAACTAGAGAGAATCCAAGTGAAATACATCTACTAGATTCATCAATTGGGTGCTCAAAATAAAGTTCCGCAGGCAGCTGATTTCCACTCCTGAGAGTTCCTGTGGAGTGTTGATGAAATACGCGCTGAGATGTTTAAAATTTATGGCGTTTTCGTTTCTGTCCTTTCATCAGAAACACTAAGAACTGTGCAATCAAAAGGCAACATTTTTTGTAGAAACGAAAACGCCCTTAGTTTACCGAAATCAGAGCAGTTGAGAAAGAAATGCTGCAACGATTCGACCTCGGCTTCCTTCAAACAGTTTCAGCAATAGGTTATGTCGTATCACATGAATTTCTAATAGACTGTGCCCGGTCAGGACATCTGTTAGAACCGATAGTTGGCGCTTAGCCAGCTGCAGAAGTTACTTTGACCGCTCATTGTCGACCAGCGGCAAGAAGGGCTTTGCTACTTTGTGTGTTGCGCGTTTTCGCCCAGCGCTCGCTGAGCCGACCATCCAGAAGTAGTACACAGCTTATCACAATAACTCCTATGCCTTCACTCTCCGGAGAGAAGAACTCACGGGCATCTTGCCTATCTAATTCATCAACCTAGCAGTTTCCTGTAAAGTCCCTGTATACTTTTGGGAATTAAATACCTACTTTTTGCAATTATGAGAAATCGCATAATAAAAAAATTACTCAACTTCATTAAGGCTTAGATAAGACAATATTATTCAAGTATCAGTAGTTGTATATATGTAAAAAATTATTTTGACTTTTAGTCATATCAATTGATTAGAAGAGACAATTTTTTACTTTTTTACTGTGAGTCACAAGCAAAAGGTTTTAGAGGTGTTTCCATTAAAGCAGGCTATATGCTTTAATTTACCAAAAAACAGCTCACACTCCCTTTTTTGCGTTCTACTTAAAAAGAACCCTTTTGACCATGAGGAATATATGTAACTCTGCAGAGTCTGCATAGCATCGTAGGAAACAGCACCAGAGATGTGAAGTATCTAACTCTAATCTCTGATACTAAACTTTTATATAAAAAGCGTTTGGATGCGATCACGTACATAACTATAGATCTATGAATAACATCTACTTTGCAAAACTTACAATAGCATATGGGGTGGTTATTTTCAAATATCGGCCTACACCTTCTTCCACGGCGAGCTTACCCATTGTATTCTTCTCAAATTTAGAGTAGGGTTTGGCAAAGGACTTCATGTGACTTCTTTAATCTGATGTTGGAGAAGATAGTAAGAGCTGCAGAACTGAACCGCTCAGGAGCAATTTACTCCAAGAGCGTGCAATTGCTGGCTTATGCCGCTGATATCGACATCATCGGCAACAAAAACCGCGAAGTCTGTTCTGCCTTTCCCAAGTTGGATAGGGAAGAAAAGCGAATGGGTCTGGTGGTAAACGAGGACAAGACGAAGTATCTCCTGTCATCAAACAAACAGAACATTCGCGCCTTGGCACCTACGTCACTGTTGACAGTTACAACGACGCCGAGTACCGCAGACGTTGGAACGATGAGCTGTATGAGCTTTACAACGACATGGAAATAGTGCAGCAAATTAAAATACTGCGGCTTCCCTGCCTTAAACATGTCGTTCGAATGGACATCGATACTCCTGCTCTGAAAGTATTCAACACGGAACCCGCTGGTGGTAGCAGAGATTTTACAGAAAGTGGCCATACGCGTAGCCACGCCCACTTATTGTTACATGTGTATATCTTGGCAACCGCTGCACCGATTTCTTCCAAACTTGCCACAGTTATTGGCCTTGGTACAGGATACCAAATGGCCGAAAATTTTTAAAATCGGACAATAACCACGCCCACATCCCATATAACGGTAATTTAGAGAAATACGAAATCTTCCATAAATCAGTGAATATTAAAGCTAATTTATTCAAAATTGATGCTTGCAACAATCCTTTACCAAGAAATACGCTTATGATAAAATTTTGGAAAATGAGCGTGGCACCGCCCACTTATGATCACATATATATATATCGGTAACCGTTCAACCAATTTGTACCAAACTCGGTACTTTTATTGTGCTTGCCACATAAAAGCAAATGGTTGAAAATTATTGAAATCGGACTAAAATTCCGGCCGCTTTTCATATAACGGTAAATTTCAGAAATGCTTGAAACTGCAATATTTCGAAATTTAAGGACGCTAATTTACTCAAAATTGATACACCCCGGCTAACCATCTAGCGGTAGGTTTCGGAAAGGTGAAAAAATATTTATTTAGTATTTGCGCCGGGTATTTAATGTTCGGCTCCGCCCGAACTTAGACTTTCTTACTTGTTACGAATGAAGAAGTGCAAATTCGGGAAGGGGTATGGGTACGGTGACCACAAATATGGATTCAAAATGAAGGACTTTTTTTCAAAAATATGCCCACATATATTTACGTAGTATAAAAATATCGAAAGAGTATTTATGATTCTAAATTCTTAATACATTTTAAACTTTGAAAAGGAATCACGTTTTCTTCATCGATAGCAATCTTTTTTACATGAATATTTATAAAAGTATAGTAAAACATATTATAATTACAATAGCTTACACGAAAAGTGAAAATCTTTAAAAGATTATTTTATAAGCAAATTTTGAGGCGTTCAAAACGAAAACAATACTCTTTTTGTTTTTTGTACTTTTCGCAGTTATTTGTCAAAAATCGACGTCATGAATCGACGTAAACGACGAGTTACAAAGGTATTTGTGTGCCCTTTACAAAAATATATAATTTGTGCAGATTGTGCTTCATAGCATTTCTAATTCCATTTTGATTATCGTTGGCTCAAATTTACTGTAATGATATATCTTCTTTATCGAATTTTTAAACTAATGAAAAAAAAGAATCAATTTGATTTGATTTTGATTGAAAATCTCACTTTTTTCGACTGTGACGACAAAATGCAAATGGTCGCCTAAAGCACTAATAATTTTCATTGAAGTCGCCACAAGTTATATATTTTGGTAAGAGGCACATCAATACCCTTCGAGATGTAAGTCGCTTACGTTGTTTGGGAGATTTTTTCATGAGATATTGAAGAAAAGCTACGAAAAGTACCAAGAAATAATTTTTTGAAAAAATCTATCCATTGTCCGATAATTTTAAAATAACGAATAAAATGCGGGACAAATGCAGGACACTTGGAAAAAAGCAGTACATTTTCAGGTTTTTCAGGTTTGAAAAACTACGCAGGACCGACCTTTGAAAAACAGTACGGTCCTGCAAAAAACAGAACGGATGGTCACCGTAGGTATGGGAGATGTTATACGAATTTAATATAATTTAGGTTTTATAAACGGGATTTTATATGACTGGTGGTCGTGTCAGTCGGCCGATTTTGACCATCTTTCAGATTAATGTTGTTGTGGTTTAAACTAAGACACAAACCGAATTTCATTATATCGGATAACATTTACCATTTCTGCGCCCTAGTGTTGTGGGCGTGCCCATCTATATGATTTTAAGATTTCACCATTGCTAAGCAGAACTACCACAGAAAACAAATTACACTTAAACTGGAATGCAATTGGTACTTTTTGCCATATTTGATATGGTGCGCTTACACTGTGCGCCGTGCTTATTTAAAGGATGTGTTTCGGCGTTTCTCTAAAACAATTTAAGTGAGCAGGACTCGTCCCAAGCACTCGCCTAAATTTGTACAACTCATCGCACCTATCTACGCTTTCGCAGACGAACGTTACAATGTCGTTAAGCAATTATTTTTTCGGACTTATAGTACTGCAGATTCCTAGCCTGACTGTGTAAAGATCTCTGGTAATGCAAAAATAAATCCCCACTTTTCTTAGGATATCGCCGTGGGAAAAGTAATTCATTTTCGAATGTGAAAACGGCTGTTTTAATGATTATTTTTTCGATTACAATACAATACATTTTCCCACTGGGTAGTTTTCCTCTTCGGTCGCTAGACGAAAGAAAGGAAATCTAAGCAGCCCACAAGCTTTGCTCACTGAAAGCGGTCTTGAGTACTGAGGTCTAATTTGACTGAACTAACCAGAATGGTTCGCATTGCGGAAATTTTTTCTTACCATTTTACGAGCCTAATTGAAATTCTCAATTACAAGTGTGTCGCTAGTAGCATTGATTAAGATAATCGAAACTTAAACCGATAAGATTACCAAGTATTAAGCTATTATCCAAGGTATACATAGTTTTATTGTTTAATTTATAACTTAAATTGATAATTTTCGACTAACGACTACGTATTTTCCCGTGTTTTACTCCACTCAACTCACTTTCGAATATAAAATTATGAAATCAAGTGCCAAGCAATTTGTTTCCTACTACCAATCGGCCTTTGCGCATTCTCACTGATGGCTTGCTACTACTTTCTGGCTATTTTTGCAGTCATCCTTGCGGCTGCCACCGCAAATCCTATGGGTCGAGTGGTTGGTGGCTATGACGCTGTACCCGCGCAGTTCCCCCATCAAATATCGCTGCGTATGAGTCATCGACACATTTGTGGCGGTTCCATCATTAAGTCCAACTACATATTGACTGCAGCGCATTGTGTGGTGTCATCCGGCACAACAGCGTGAGTACAAAAAAAAAGCTAAACTTTCCAAAAATCATTTTAATTCTCTATTTCGTTCCCCGCAGTTACCCCGCTGAGGATTTCACCATTCGCGCTGGCACACACAATCGCATCGCTGGCGGTGTCATCGTTCAAGTCAAGCGCGTCGTGGTGCATGAGGGCTATGCTTCAATCACAAATGACTTGGCTTTGCTGGAATTGGAGGAGCACTTGAGTTTCTCTGAAAAAATTCAACCTATTGCTTTGCCTACTGCTGAAGTTCCTGCTGGCTCTGTGGTTACTATTTCAGGCTGGGGTCTGACCGAGAATAATGGTGATACCTTGCCCATTATTTTGCAATGGAATACCGTGCAGGCGCTTAGCAAAAGTCAATGTTTCCGTAAGATTTTAATCTCCTCAGATGCTTTGATTTGCTTAGACCATCCGTCGGGCGCTGGTGCTTGCAATGGTGACTCAGGTGGTCCAGCAATATACGATGATCAGCTGGTGGGTGTTGCTGGATTTGTGGTTATTGGTTGTGGAACTTCGCGTCCCGATGGATATGCCAAAGTGTTCTACAATCTCGAATGGATTAATCAGAACATGATTTGAAGTGCTTAAATGAATGTATATCGGTGTGAAGTTTTGTAGAAAATAAATTAAAAAAAGCCTAAATGTGTGTATGATATATATTTTTCTTGGTGAAAGTGAGCCTTGTCGTTTTTTGAGCGAGAACCTATTAAAATACCTCGTAACATTCTTTTTATTTGGTTGTTGGTGCCTCGGACTAGGTGTATTTTGTACGGAAACCGGTTGGTTTCCAAACAAAATGTGACAATGGATGGCGGATTTTGAAATCAAAGAATATTTTAAGGGAGTGCTCAAAGCGCTCAAAGTTTTCCATCTATTTTATATGGGGGAAAACAACTTTTCATAGAAATGGTATAGAATTCTTGAAAATCAATATTTTTGATCGGAAAACTCTGGTTCTCTTCAAGAGAACTTAAACGAGCAGGGCACACCGAATTTCATCAAAAAAGATTTTTTTTAATTTGCGCCTGTTTTTCTAGAATTACTGAACGATAATGTAAACCGATTTTGGCGATCTTTCAGATTTATGCTTTTCTCGTTAAAACCAGCATATGCTCTGAATTTCATCAAAATCGGATAACATTTACTATTTCCGCCCTTAAGAGCTGTGGGCGTGGTAGCGCGTAGAATTTTACTATTTTCCACATTTATTCATTCCTAAGTGCCAAACAGCGCATATACCAAATTTCACCGAATTTCTAGTACGGTTACTACTTTTGGCCGCAGCTTATATGGGGACGTCCCACTGTGTAGCGGCACTAAATGCACTTTCATCCTTCGAGATCAAATCCTCAGTGGTCTTGGAGGGTGTAGAGAGGCTTTATGCTGTAGTTGAGAATAATACCCTCCGATTGCTATGAATACCAGGGCAAATGGGAGTCGAAGGTAATGAGGAAACGGATTAGTTGGCCAGTCTGGCCGATTCCTGGACCCCGATAGGGCGAGACCTTTCTTTAAATAGGTCGCGACACGATAAAGAAAGCGCTAAATATGAAAAACACCAAAGTAAGGGAACCATGGGACGTCTTTAAACCAAACGCTAACTAGGAAGGAATCTGAAAAGATACTGATGGGCCTCCGGCCTCCCTAAAGAGAAACTATTTAAGAATCACTGCAGGTTTTTTGACAGGCTATTGTAGGTTAAGAGATCACCTATACAGTTTAGGAGTCTGGTCAAGTGACCTATGTCGCCATGACGCTACCAAGAAGACTCCACTACACCTGCTTCTGTTTCACGTAGGAGGGAGAGGAGCACATTTACTCCCTGCCCCGGTTCTAATCGGAATTCGTTAGAGTCTCTAGGCCTGGATGAGGTGTTGTGAAAAATTTAGAGCACAGTAGACCTTCTGGTCGCATTGAAAGAGTTCGGAATCGATTCCTTCTTGCTGACGTGGTCCTCTGAGATTAATTTGGGCAGATTTGTTTTTGCAATTTACAGAGTGGCGTTGTTCGAAATTTTATTATTGGGATGAACTGATTCTTGATGAAATAATGATCGCAAAACAGTCATGATTCTGAATTCTCTAGATTTTCTTCAATTCGGGTAGGTTCTCCCAATGGGACTCAATCCATCGAAATCAGGGCACGTCGGCGATTAAGTACTTCAACGATAGTTATATGTTTAAACTGAGGTCTTCACGTGGCATAATAAACCCCATTATTATGGTTACAGGAATTTCACTGATTTCGGTAAACAAATACATCCTTCAATAAGATAAGAAAAGGTGGATTCTCCAGAGTTAGTGTATTAAGTTTCTGCAAAAATTCCCGAGAAACGCCATACTATTGTAGCGCAGTGCCACTAAATCAATTTTATCAATAACTAACTCAAAAATCCATATCGTGCAAATTACTGATTTATGATCAAAGATTTTAGACACTACGTTTTATTACAATACAAAAGGAACAGAAATCAGATTAGATATGGATTAAAAATTAATGTCAGGAATATGCTCAGAATACTATATGTGAACTCAAATTAACATAAAAATGAAGCCATGATTCTTTGCGACCCTCAGTTTGCGTCCATCCACGTACAAGTACTAATTATGTCGAAACTATTCATTCAACTTGCGCTCTGTCTTGGGCTAATCGCTTTGGTGAGCGCACATCCCTACACCACCGGACGCATTGTTGGCGGTGAGAATGCTGTTGAAGGCGCATTACCCTATCAAGTGTCACTTCGTTATAGCGGATCGCACATTTGTGGTGCAGCGATTATCAATCAGCGCTATGTGCTCTCAGCCGCGCATTGTGTAGGCGATGAGGATGCCGATGGCAACTACGTTGTGTAAGTCTTTCGGTTAACTCATACATGCCTTCGAGGCTCGATATTGTTAATGTCATGTGGGTATATCTTTCTAGCGATCCTGCTAGCTATTTCTCGATTCGTGCGGGCTCAAGTGATCGCCTACGTGGCGGTGTGGTCGTCAAGGTCACAAACATTGTAGTGAATGAGAATTATGCAAACTTTTTGCACGATTTAGCAGTGCTCCGCTTAGAATCTGCCCTAATTTATTCAAATAACATAAAACCAATTCCTTTGGCCAGCGGTGAAGTGCCGACCGGCGAACAAGTACTCATCTCAGGCTGGGGTCGTCTAACCACCACTGGCGATGCGCCAACTAAATTGCAATATAACTATGTGCAGGCTATATCCAAATTATCTTGTTTTACCAGAATTGGTATGTACAGTGATGCGCTGCTGTGCTTGGGACATCCGGCAAATAATGGTGCTTGCTTTGGTGACTCCGGTGGTCCGGCTGCATATCAAGGCGAACTTGTAGGAGTTGCTAGTTTTGTGGTTGGTGGTTGCGGCACCACCAGCCCAGATGGTTATGCGAAGATTTACGAGCATGTGGACTGGATTAAGGAGCACTCAAAATTGTGAGTTGTTAATTCATTTGTAAGTGCAGTACGTGAAGTTTCTTTTGGAATTCATGTTGCCGATTAATTAAGCGAATAAAAAGTCTTTCAGGTACCTTTATGTATTAAAAGTGTTTTGTTTAAAAGTGCAATATATGAACGAGAAAATATTTACTTTTATATCTGCTCTCTCTGTCTGCTGTTATCTTCTGCTCGAGGCTTTTATATACGTACGTATTTATGTAGTTAGCGTTAAAGCTAATTTAATACTAAAGCAAAATTATTCATCATCATTTGAAAGGGAGTTTTTGTTTTTGCTTGAAGTGTATACCTTTTTAATACTAAAGACTTTTTATTGGTCATGCTTTGCACTTTCTGGGGTCTTCTCCATCCTTAAATTTCAGTGGCGGATCCAGCGGGGGGCGGGGTTTGGGTGTTAAGCTATGTGTCAGTCAGTGGCGGACCCACGGGGGGTGTTTTAGTACACTTAATACACTTTTAATACTTCAAGTCACCTCACCGGAAGTTGTCATTGTCCATGCTTCTGAGAAAGAATTTTACCACTCGTTTGCATACTCTGTCCAAAGTATTTAACGCTTGTTGGCAAAGTGATTCCGCATTAGATTTAGTGGAAAACACTGTTATCGATGTTAATGCTGGTTCCCAAGTAAACTAAATTATCTACTTTCTCAAAATTATAACTGTAAACTGAGACGTGAGCGCCAAAGCGCGGATGCGCTGACTGTTTGTTTATTGAATGGACAAACTTCGTCTTGTCCTCGTTCACCACCAGACCCATTAGCTAAGCCAGTAAATACACGCTCATGTAATTAATTGCTCCCGAGTGTTTAAGAACCGCGGTTCCTTTTATTTTCTCCAACATCAGATTATAGAAATCACAGGTATTCGTTTGGTATTAATAGGCTCGGAAAGCCCTTTCCAATTCTGACTGAGCTGGTGGTACTGCTCAACGTCATTTGAAACAGCCGTATCCCTTCCGCGATGATTCAAAATTCAGACATTACGGCGTATAGGCCACTCCTCTTAGTGCTGTCGAAAGCGGCTTGTTTCGACAAAAAGGTGGTGAACGTCGCTAATGCCCAATCAGTTCGTTGGCCCTGGGATTCAGTCTTTCACACAATATGCTTAATAAGACCTTGTAACCTATACTTAGAAAGCTGATCCAGCGGTAGTTGGCACACGTAAAACCAGTCGTCGGGCATGCGTTCATGCATGCACCTTATCAGCTTCTCGCCGCCATACTTGAATAGCTCAGCTTGCAGGACGTCAGCTCCAGCAGCATTGTCGTTTTTCAGTCACATCATAGTCAGGCGGTGGGACATAGACTCCGGCATCATCAAGTGGGGGATCGGGCCGGTCTTCTCCACTACTTTCAGTGGTGCTGCCATTCAATAGGGTGAAGAAGTGTTCGCTCTATAATTTAAGTACGTTCCGCACATCGGTCTCCAGGTCTCCGTGGTTGTTATTACAGAAGTTCTCCCTGGTCTTGAAGACTTCCGTCAGTCGCCTAGCCCTCTGGTAAAATTTTCGGGCAGCATTTTAAGCTCTTCGCATTCACGTATTTCGGTCTCTCTCTTCTTACTGCGGCAAATACGTCTCGCTTCACTCTGCAGTTCGCTTTAACGTACCAGTCGTTCTTTCGGGCTCGCTGAAACCGACTACCTCTTCGGCTGCGGTACGCCACGAGCGCGAAATATAATAAAAATGATCATGTCGGTAAATTCAGGATGTTTTTTTTTTTTTTTGTAAAATTATGTACTTTTCTTTGAAATCGCTTCAGTACTCCTCGTGCAATAAGCGTTTTTGTTAAACTCTAAAAATTAGAAGGCATTAATATCGAAACGTAAGACGTATTGCGTTAATAAACTTTTCTTAAGATATTATAGCATTTCAAATCGTTTTTATCAATTAGATGCTCGTGGTTATCATACGAGTATAAAAGTATTTACGTGCACACTTACATACATAGGTATGTACTCGTATATATGTATGTAAGTAAATGTTCCAAACGCATACTTATTATCATACTGTATCGAATTGTAATAAATAATTGAGGACAAAATCGAATTATCAAGCAGGTTGGTATTAATCGTCATAAACGAACTAATTTCAGCACATATTTTATAGCTTTGCACACTTTGGCATGATAAGCATAAGTTTACATTTAGTTAGTTAATTTCAATAGGTAAGAAAGTGCGTCAAAGTTTAGTTCCATATCGGACGTAGACGTGCTACGGCATCGCAATGGCCAAATTCGCATTTTTCTCTTTGATCTGCCTGATTTGCGCTGTGATCGGTCAAGCTGGTCCCACGGCGCGTGTTGTGGGTGGTGTGGATGCTTACGAGGGTCAGTTTCCACATCAAATTTCGTTACGTCGCAATTGTTCACATACTTGTGGTGGTTCGATAATTAGTAAAAATTTCATATTGACCGCAGCGCATTGTGTGGGCACCACAGACGCCGCGGGTACCTATTACACGTAAGTACTTTTTTACGAAGTTGCCATAAAATATATGATCACAAATCCTTACAAATACATACTATGTATGTGAATATCTTCTCATTAACAACAGCTACAATGCAACCACCTTCACTGTACGTGCCGGTTCCACCGATCGTTTTCGTGGCGGCGTTGTAGTCAATGTCAAAGAGATCATCACCCACGAGAATTATGGAAATTTCTTGAATGATGTGGCGCTGTTGCGTTTAAGCGAGCCATTAATCCTATCGAAGAACATTCAACCTGTTAAGTTGGCTACAAAAGAATTACCCTCCGGCACGCCGGTCATAATTTCAGGCTGGGGTCGCCTAAAGGCTGGTGGTGATTTGCCACAAAAGTTGCAGTGGAACACATTGTCGGCAAT